CTCTTCCCTCTCGTGCTCTCTATCTCTCATTCTCTCTCAAATAAATAAATAAAATCTTTAAAAAAAAAAAGATGTATACTGAGGCATATTGTGAGAGGTGACATGACGATAGGGACAGGACAGTCTGGGATATACTTTAAGGTCCTGCAGCAAAACGAGGGAGGGGGCAGGAATAGATTAAATCAGTTGGGCAAGGGCCACCTGGGTGGCTCAGTCGGCTAAGCATCTGCCCCTCGGCTCAGGTTGTGATCTCAGGGTCCTGGGATCAAACCCCATGTCGGGCTCCCTGCTCAGTGGGGAGCCTGCTTCTCCCTCTCCCTCTGTGCACGCTCTCTCTCTCAAATTAATAAAATCTTTAAAAATCAATAAATCAGTTGGGCAAGATGTTAGTTACTGAAACTGGGAAATGGTGGGTGCTTTTTCCTCTTCTTTAGTGTCTGTTTGGAATTTTTCATAGTAAGAAGTTTTTCTAGAGCCCAGCACTGCTCAAGGGTGGGTCAGAAAGAACATATTGGTTCCAAGGTACATTGTAACGATGCAGGCAAAGCTCAAAAGCATTGTGCGTATTTGTCATTTACCGTGATGAGGGGCAATTCTTTTGGAAAAGACTTCTAAGCTTTAATATTTGATTGATTGCCTTTTTTTTTCTTCTCTGATCATTTTATTTGGGGTTTACCAAAAACTGATCACCTAGGGGAAATTGTGGCAGCACAGTAACTTCCTCAACAAAGTCCTAGGTATTCACCGGGAGTAGAAGGTTTTCTGTTCCTGTAGAAAATGTGTCGGTCCCCCCAGGGTGTACAGACATTCCCAGAGCCATGCACAGACCCTCTCCAGCTGACTCCCACATCACCTGGGAGGGGAGTAAAGTGCTTATGATCAACCCTATTTCAAATGGATGAAGCAATGGAGATTCTTTCTCTGAGGGATTTCACAGTCACATTTAAATGACAGTTCTCTGCTTGGACGTCACTTTAATATTTGTATATAAATACCTCTGTCATGAACACATAAATGCTGATCACCTTACACATTAGTGAAGTCTTATAAATTTGAGGGGAGGTGGAACCAGGTTGAAATTAGGAATATATTTAAAATAACAGATTACATGTGAACATCACCATCTCTTTTCAGTGACTTCTTTGGGAGCCTAGATGACCAGCAAGAGAAACGACAGAAGAGTTTCTCTTTCGTCTTTGCATGTGGAAACAGAAATGGATGGGGTAGGGGGATAGTGGGGGGTTAGGGTGACAAGTCCCAGCTCTGTTGCAGATTTGCTATGGACTTTGGGTGGATTGACCTTCCTTGTCCTTGGTCCCTGTCTGCAAATGGGAAAAAACAGCACTCCCTTATCTGTCTCCTGTCTTAACCTGCAGCTCAAAAGAAATAATGTATGTGAAAATATTCTTGGAACTATAAAGGGATTATAATTATTTTTTTTAAATATACTCTCCAAATAGATACTGTTTTTCCCTAGTCAACCTCTCTTATTTCCCAATTCCACTTCTAGAATTGTTCTTAAACCACTCTGGGATACAATTTAAATAAAAGACTCTGAGAGTAGATTATATTTTCAATTAGAGATTATTTAGCTTCCTATTTACTATGCAACATTAAAGATTCTCCTCCTAATTTAAAAAAAAGTTTGATTTTAATACTGTTAAAGTATAAACATATTATTTCTGGAATATTCCTTGAATCCTGCCTGAACACTTTGGCATTTTATAGTTCTCTGCCAAAGCCCTGCTCAAATATAGTAAATAATTTGACTTGAAACTCAAAATGTCCATTTTATTTTTTGAAAGATTTTATTTATTTATTTAAGAGAGAGAGAAGGAAAGAGAACACAAGCAGGGAGAAAGGCAGAGGGAGAAGGAGAAACAGACTCCCCTCTGAACATGGAGCCTGAGGTGGGGCTCAACATGGGGCTCAATCCCAGGACCCTGAGATCATGACCTGAGCTGAAGTCAGACACTTAACCAACTGAGCCACCCAGGTGCCCCAAAATGTCCATTTTAAATATTGTTAGTGGTAGGCCTGGCCTATGTTCCTTCTATTAAGGCAGATTCTTTCATGGTACAGATAGCAAGGACTGAGGACTTGACCAGGAAAGACTTCCGATTAATTCCCCAGGGCTGGAACCAAACAATGAGCCTTTGCCCAAAACGGTCAACACAATGTCTTCATCCGTACTCAGTGGCTCATGAAAATGTGTTCAAGGGGCACCTGGGTAGCTCAGTCAGTTAAGCATTAGACTCTATTTTGGCTCAGGTCATGGTCTCCAAGTTATGGGATCAACCCCCACATAGGGCTCTGCGCTCAGCAAGGAGTCTGCTTGAGATTCTCCCTTTCCATCTTTCTCTGCCCCTCTAGGGCATTTGCTCTCAAATAAATAAATCTTTTTTAAAAATGTATTCAAAATGTAACAAGATCTCTTACCATGGCAGGTTAGAGGCTGCTAAGACAAACACGAGATCTTCTGAGCGAGCCAGCCCATCCATTTGCACCAGTAACTCTGTCTTCATTCGAAGGCTTCCTTCATGCTCTCCCCTACAGAGAGACACAGAGGTGAGATTCTCCCAAGACGTGGAGCCTTTGCTTCCAGGACAAGAGTAGCATTCACATCAATGACTCGGTGCCTGTAGAACAGGTTCCCTGCCTCATTCTAAGGAGCCACTTGTACTAGAGTTGGAGGAAACAAGCAGTTTGGTACTATTTTCACATAGAGGGTGATAGAAAGGAAGTAAATGAACATGATGACGATATTGAAAAGAAAACCAAAGGCTGGCAGTGAACTAGAAAACAGCTGAAAAGTAGACAGTAGCCCTGATGGACTTACTGCAGCCGGGCTATGTCTACCTGCAGTACTGTTTGCCCTTGGTGAAAACGGTGTAATTGAGAAGAATCCTTTCATTTCTGTAGCGGGCATAAAAGTACTTTTATACACAGCATTTCTTTCAGTATAATTTGTGGATATAATCTATTGAAGAAGAGAGATGAGCTACTACAATGAATCTATTTCATTCTCTTCTAATAAGAACTAAGATAATGACATGGAAAGTATGCTTTCCTCACACAGCAGATTGAGGCTGTCTTCTGTGCAAATTCACCTTCTGAGCCCCACCTCCACCACGGCCAAAGACCCTCCCAACAAGAAGGATCTCACTACAGGACCTAACAATCTAAATTGGCTCTAAATACTGACTACATTAGCAGGTTCTCCTTCCTCTTCACTTGTACAGATTGAAGTAAAAGGACAAAAAATGCATTTCTTGGACCGCACGCCATTCAGCCTCTCATCTCTGCATGTGTATGGTGGCAGCATCGATTAGGTATGTGTTTTTTCAAGAACTGTGCCACTCACTATCAAACTACCTTTCTTAAGAGAAAGAGAAACTCTACTCACAGTAGAGTTGTATATTTATTTGGCATTTACTCATAATTTTTCTCTTAACATCATATGACCCACGAAGTCTTCAGAGCACCTGCCCTTATTCCCTGACCCTTTGAAGACTCTACTTTTAGGGTCCAAGTTCCAGACAAGGAAGCTGACGTTCAGCTTCCCCTTGGGAGCACACACAAGGATAGTTGATGAAGTTCCCAAATTAGCACATTCAAAGCTGTGGGGAAACCTGGGAGTGGAGATGGACAGAGCAAATGAAGCACAAGTGCACAGGTCACTATGGTAAGGCAGCCAGGTGGGCCAGGTCTTTGCAGGTGAGATGAGCACTAGAGTGATCTGCCTGATGGGTGCCCAGCTGGGTGCCTGTGCACTGGTCTGCTCCCATCAGGTCCTGAATTAGAAAGACAAGGTGTCCCAGCGTGGGGCTGACTAGCACCCATTAAGCCATGGCAATTTTCCCATTTAAGTCAATGCCATCAATGCCATGCCTCTTGGGTGCATCTTAATGGTTGCTTTGCTGTTAGGAAAATGATTTCCAATAAGTAAAATTTCATAAATTATATTGTAGTTATATATCCAAGAAGCTAAATATTTGCCTCTTATTACTACTAGTTCTGCCTTGATAATGGACCATTAGAGGCCATTAATAAATGCAGCTGTGTTGAGATTGCCCAGAGACATGTTTTTCCAAGCCAGGTTTAGTAAAAAGTTTCAAAGAAGAATACTTCTGACTAAGACAGAAAGACTTTCTTAAAACACACACACACACACACAGAAGGCTCACTGCAGTCTGAGATGTGTTCTTTCCTGCTGGGGACATTAGTGGACACTTAATCTTTAGAGATGACATATTTGACATATTTAAAATCAGGCTGAGCCACAACCTGATGTCACAGAGAAGTGGTGGCTTCCCTGGCCTCACACACCTTGTCGAGGGCTGCCTCTCGGGACTTGGCCTTTGCAGCCCCATTCCCCGCAGGCAGCCCCTCTGGCTCCAGAGGAGGTGGTCACAGACAGCTATTTTGAGCCAGCAAGACCGTTATGGCAGCCTGGGATCATGGGGCTGGGTGATCTTCAGGCCTGAAAACCACTCTGTGGGGAAAGGGGGAAGGGAGGATGACATTTCCTCCGGTTATAAAAACTCCTTAAATCAGCTATTCAGTTAACAGGATCTAATTTAAAGACCTTTCCATGTGTCTGCAGAAAATTTGTGGGCTTATTAATAGGCTCATTCTGCTGGTAAATGTCGATGGGCTTCCGACCATCAAACACACTTACAAGAGGGGAGAAGTGATGACCAAAAAAAAAAAAAAAAAACCCTGTCTGTTACCCAGGAGCCGTGCCTCTCTGACTCATCACTGACTCCAGCTCGTCCAGGAAGATGGTGGAGGGGGCGTGATAGCGGGCAAGTTCAAATAACACCTGGGTGGGAGAAAAGCAACCACATATTCAAATTCATATACTTAAGTTTAAGTTCACTGATGCTCCCAGAGATTAAAAGCTTAGGATGGCTGTAATATTAAGCATTTATGCTGCACTCTGTTCTTTCACAATAACTTTATAATCATTGCAATTATTTCTCCTTAGCACAACCCCTTGGATGGTCCAATTATTTCCACTTATCACTTGATAAAATTGGAGACAGAGAGAGTTAATGGTGAGCTCAAGGTTACTAATCATAAATGGGAGAGCTTAAGATAAAACTCAGTTCCTGAGCTTCTAGTCAGTTAGTTAGCCCCTGAGACTCCCTGCCAATCATATGTTCCATATGGACACAAAAGCCTTGGAATGTTTAAACTCATTTGTTGATTTTCCCTTAACCTTTAGGGACAATGAAAGTTATTCTTAGAAGGAAGGGTTGTAGGGAGAGGATACAGTTCCAGTCATGGGTAACAAGGCTGAAGAATGTTGCCCCTTTCTACTCCCCATATCACTCCTTGGGGCCCCCATTCCACTCCAAACACTGTTGTTTGGTAGGCTCAGGTACTCGAAGGCAATTCCCAATTGAATAAAATGTTCCATTCCAAAATAAAATATTATAGACTGAACAAGAACAGGAAAGCAGCCAGCAAAAGAACAGACATATAAAAACAAAATAAAGAGCTCTAAAGGGAGATGTGGTGGTGATGAAAAGAGTATAAAAAACTAAACCTTTCTTTTTTTTAACCTTGAAACTGATCTCTTGAGCACCATATATAATTCTTCACTGGTTGATCAGAGAAAGCAGTAGAGATTTAGAAAAGAATAGAGGTTCTTTAATAGGCATAGGGGATTTGTTCTCCATGTCACTTAACACTAGCAAAGCATTACAGAACAAATAAGAGGAGAAGAGCCCAGAAAAGGCCAGATTGTGGTTTTCGTGAGTAGTGGCAGGTTATCCCTTACAGGTCTCCCTGTCACTGAGTGGGAAATTCCTCACCTTCACCACTGCGTGCACGTATGGTACATCCATGCTCATCCTCAAGTATTTTCCTTTCACAGAATCCTATTTCATTCAGCCGAGACAACTGGCTCAGCCTAATGAACTGAGAGAACAGTATCAATGCTGGGACACACATCACAAATGCCTTTTAGACACAATAGAGACCCTCTCATTAGAAGCCAGTAACTTGTTTTCCTTATCACAAAAAAAGCCCAGATATAACTGATACTAAGGATGATTACAATAGCAGCAATCTTCCCAGTGAAAAGTAGAATATCAGAACTCTTTAATAGAACCACACATGTTTTTAAGCACCTTAAGGTGCTCCCTAAGGTGCAGAGAGACCAAGAGGCTCTACAAGACCAAACATCCAGTTGGAAGGAGAACCACATCTGGAGCCTATGTCTCCATATTGACCACGCCACTGCTCTTTCCAGTGCCAGAGAATATATAGAATTCCGGGTAAGTGCTCTGGAAGCATTAGTCTAAAATTTTCAAAAGTACTTGGAGGAAGTTAAATCATATGACTGGGGGGCAGCGGGAGGGTGTTGAAAGATGTAAGCACCAACAGGTGTGTGCATTTGCTGAAGAGACCACTCAACTATTCAATAGCATCAATTCCTAGGAGGCAAGAACATTAGGAGGGGAGGGAGGAACATAACCCAAGGGTTCCCTATAAATAACTCTTTAATTGGAATAGAAAGAGAAACAAATGGTAGGAAAGTGTCTCTGATTTAGGGGAAGGTCCTGAAGGGCTGCTCTCTTTATCTGAAAAGAGAAACAAATGGTAGGAAAGTGTCTCTGATTTAGGGGAAGGTCCTGAAGGGCTGCTCTCTTTATCTGAAAACTTCATAGTAAAGATCTTGACAGCATGACCAAGATTTTCCAGGTGAGGATCTTTCCAAGAGCTCAGAAAATAATTTCTGAAAGGATAGAAGATGAGATCCTTCAAGGTTAGCAGAGGTTATCTATTTTCCTGTTGAATTATTTTTTTAAATATCCAAAACCAAAAATGCATTTCACAGAAAAAAAGAAAATACACATATCTTCTAAACCTATAAAAAGATGCTCAAGTTCATTCAGAATTAAATAAATGCATATTTGAGCACTGAAATATTACTTTCACTATCAGATTGGCAAAGATTTTTAAATTTAAGTACTGCAAGCGTTGGCCAGGGTGGGGGAAGCAAATGAGCAGTGCACATCATTGATGGGTGTGTAAGCTGGTGCAACACTGTTGTCAGGTAATTTGGCAATCAGTGATTTTTCATTCTCTCTGACCTAGCAACTCTACTTCAAAGAAATTGTCCTACACTACTATGTATGCAAGGACACGTATATAGTAAGATTGTTTACTGTAGCTTTGTTCACGATAGCAAGAGACTAGAAACAACCTAAATGTCCATTGAGAAAAGACAGGTTAATTACATTTTGGTATACATGGGCAATGAAATGCCATGCAGACTTATAAAAGAACTGTTCTGTCTATAATAGTGTGGAACAACAGCCAAGTTATATTCTTGAGTGTGGAAAAAAATCAAAAGGTATACAAGGTTATGTGTCGTATGTTCCAGCTTGTATTTAATAAGGAAGGGAGATATAGATGGAAGTTGTTGATATTAATATAGATATAGATAAATGTCCTGAAAGGCTGCTCTAGCAAACTGTAGTAGTTGCCTCTAGGGAGAGGGCTCAAGGGTCTATATTCCCTTTTGTACCTTTTTTTTTTTTTTTCCAAAATACTAGTGTGGTTTTTTTTAAGATTTGTTTATTTATTTTAGAGAGTGAAAGAGAGGGAGCATGAGTGGGAGGAAGGGGAGAGGGAGAGAGAGAGAGAATCCTCAAGCAGACTCCCTGCTGAGTACAGAGCCTGACGTGGGGCTTGGTCCCAGGACCCTGAGATCATGACCTGAGCCGAGATTATGACCTGAGCTGGGATCAAGAGTCAGCCACTTAACTGACTGAGCCACCCAGGCACCCCAACATAGTTATTTTTAAAAAATATTTGGGAAAGGAAGGGAAGAAATTGGGGGAGGAATCATTTCCTTGCCCTTAGAATTCTAACAAAATAGGGCGTCTGGGTGGCTTAGTCGTTAAGCGTCTGCCTTTGGCTCAGGTCATGATCCCAGGGTCCTGGGATCAAGTCCCACATCGGGCTCCCTGCTCCATGGGAAGCCTGCTTCTCCCTCTCCCACTACCCCTGCTTATGTTCCTGCTCTCACTGTGTCTCTCTCTGTCAAATAAATAAATAAAATCTTTAAAAAAAAAATTCTAACAAAATAATACTGAAGCAAAGGAAAACTTTAGTTAAATAAAATGTTCACACAGAATGGAGAGTCCTTGTTAAATGACTTTTCTGGCTATCCAACATTAAACAAGACAATTCTTTTAGTAGTTTCAATCTTCATTGAGAATATTCATAAAAGGGGCGCCTGAGTGGCTCAGTCAGTTGAGCATCTGCCTTCGGCTCAGGTCATGATCCCAGGGTCCTGGGACAGAGTCCTGCATTAGGCTCCCTGCTCAGTGGGGAGTCTGCTTCTCACTCTGCCTTTCCCACTGCTCATGCTTGCACATGCGCGTGTGCTCTCTCTCTCTGAAATAAATGAATAAAATCTTTAAGAAAAAAGAATATTCATAAAATATTTGAATTTATTCTTCTGTTTAGGGATGTCCTGTCCAGGGAATATAATGTAATCTTTCTTTGAGCATCTTGCAGTGTTTTGTGCTCACAGTTGTAAACACCACTTTTCATGACAGGTGATGAATCTAAACTGATTCTGGGGTCATCTTGTAAAAGTTTTATTGTTCCTCAGCACATAGAAATGGAATGTTAAAAAAAAGTCTTCAGGCTGATGAAGATTTTATAGTTAGTTGGATTTTAGCTAATTGAAATCAGACTAACTAGTATCACACAGAACCCAAAAATTTGGGGCACCTGGGTGGCTAAGTTGGTTAAGCGACTGCCTTCGACTCAGGTCATGATCCTGGAGTCCTGGGATCAAGTCCTGCATCGGGTTCCCTGCTCAGCGGGGGGAGTCTGCTTCTCCCTCTGACCCTCCCCCCCCTTATGTGCTCTCTCTCTCTCTCTCTCTCTCATTCTCTCTCTCAAATAAATAAAATCTTTAAGAAAAAAAAAGAACCCACAAATTTAGGAACAGGTAAGATCCAACCCCACCTTTAGACCTGGTACTAAGGTAGACTCAAAGAACAAAGAAACAGATGTCAACGTGGATTTCCACGAATTACAATCTTGAAGGGGTGATAAAAATTTATAAAAACTTACACATTTGAAGTAACTTGAGAAAAGTATCAAAGTAATAAATAATAGGTCATTTTAGGTAAATCAATCCTATAAAAATATTCTATTATGACTTCCAAGTAAGCCATAATATTTTGAAAATGAGTCATCCAAGGGAATATAACAAGCCTAATATTTTAGAGTAATTTCTTTTCAGAAAATACATGGTATTTACACTGACTTAGTATTGATTTCATACCAGTCATTCTACAGAATTCAACTGTTTAACAGGACTTCTGAGAAGGGCCCACCTTACAATGAGGTGTAAATCATAAATAGATGTTCTCTTAAGGTGACTGGAAAGTATAGTAAAATTTTATAACATAAAATTTTGTATTATATTTTACATAAAATATATTTTATATTTCTCTCCTAAGGAGCGGAAGAAACTGTAAGGCTTTGGGGCACTGTGGAGGAATGTTGCTCAGGGCATCTGAAAAAATAATTGTTTTCAATTTCTTGATTCTTTCTGAGAGTATCTAGTGTAGGAATTAGCATACGGTAGTAGCTTCTCGATAAATGTTAACTGAATATACTGCACATGCTTAATAATAAATGCTTCTTGAATGAAGAAAAAAATATTCCACTTCATAAAAAACCTTTGTCCCAGCTTCCGTTCCTAAGCTACAGGAATCAAAAAAGGACTGTTGGTCACATTCCTGAAGGAAAGGAGATCATGTTTTGCTGATGGGGACAAGATTAATATCCACATATAATAGCCCATCTCCTGGGCTTTTGGTAATCAAAATCCAGGGTAAATTCTATTAAAACAAATAAGCTCTAACATCATCGTGTACCATCGTATTCTGCTGGAGCTTATTGTAAAAAAGGCAAAATCAAGAATTCCTACCCGAACAAGTTTTTCGGAATCCCCTCTCCATTTGCTGACAATGGTAGATGCAGAAATGTTAAAGAAGGTGGTTTTGCACTCCGTGGCCACAGCTTTGGCTAGTAAAGTCTTTCCTGTACCTAGAGACACATGGGGATAAAACATGAGTGACACCTGAGCTCCGTTCCCCTGCTCACAGATAGAAGTCAATCTCACAAGTGAAAAAGGAGGTGGTTACCCAGCGCTCATCAGCCTCCAGCCCTAATGAGGACAGATAGGGCAACTCATCCTCGGCACACACTTGATATCAAGACCAAAACAGAAAGATTCCTTTACCTGGAGGGCCATACAGCAGCAGTCCTTTCCAGGGAGAAAGGATTCCTGTAAACAGCTGTGGGTACTGTGGAAACAAGGAACAAAGATGAGGTTTGGCATCAGTACATCAGCCTGCACACCGTTAGCACAGACAAATGAAGGAAGCTGGACTGAAACATGGCACAACTCAGAGAGTCACGTCTTCCTTTTCTTAAGGCTGGCTGCTTCTGTTTACATCTTATTTACCCCAGTTTTACTTTCACACTTAATAGCCATGCCTGGCTTAATTTTTGTAGCTTTTTAAAAGAGCAATTTTTTTTTTTTTTTTAAGGAAAAGAAAGGCATATCTAGGTACTTTCCCGCTCCAGTAGTTATTTCCTACATACATAACATTATTTCCCCCGGAGTTCTCTGTACAGGGCAATCTTTTGAATGTTGTGAACCAGGAATACCCTTTAAGATAAACACTAAAACCAACAACAAAGGTGTATATTAATAAAGCACAAAGCTATGGCAAAGCCTGATTTAGAAGTTGGGAACATTCAGTGCTGAATGCATTATGAGACAAGGACTCCAAACAGGACATGCATGGACTTCAGGGATTCTCTCTCATTAGTTCAAAATCAGACAGTCTAGAGGGAAGGGAGAGTTGATAGAGAACAAGGGAGAAGGAAAAACCATAGTAAAATTGTAACTAGCTACTGGTTTCCTGCTGATGCTAATGCCAAAATCTTGATGCCATCACATACAAAGGTTATAACACCATGGAGTTAACATATCCAGAGTTTCAATGAGATGTTCTGTCCTTTCCCAGGAAACTTATACTGTAGAGCCACTTAGAGGAAAGGGTGAATAAATTTCTACTAATTCTGAATGCCAGTATATTCCTTACCCCCCTGTCTAAACACAGGAAGAAAGCAGGAGAGACCATCCAAATTTATTGATTTTTGTCTCATTAGAATAGAAGCAACCAAAAATCAGGGGCTGCGTGGGCTCAGTGGTAAGAATCAATAGATTATTCAATACAATAAATATGTTATCTTGACTTTGAGAGATCACAGAAAATGGTCACAAATTATCGGCAGCTCCTTCCACTGAGAGGCAGAGTATATTTCTGCCTCTCGGTAGAGTACATTTCTCCACCACTTGAATCTGGACTTGGCCTTGTGACCTTGGCCACTGAGACATTAGCAAATATAAGAAGAGACTTGAAAATATAAGGACTGTAATAAGAAGAGACATGAAAAATGCTGTTGGATTGGGACCTGCCCTTTCTGGCTTCTGTCTGGGAAGTCTGTGTCGCCACAGGAACAAGACTGGGCCTGCCTGCTGGAGGATGAGAGGCACAGCGACAAGGCTCAGTCGTCTTGTCTGTTCCAACTTTCCCAGCCACGCCAGTTGGTGCCGCAGACACGTAAGCCCAGCCAGTACCAGGTGGAAAAGATGAGCCCAGCCCAGACTGCCTACCGCCACAATTGCACACAAATAAATGATTGTTGTTTTAAGGCACAACGTTTTGGGGTGGTCTGTTATACAGCCAAAGCTATGTGGTATACAGACCTTCTCGTCACCACAGTCGTAAACCCGACATGGAACATCTTATTTTCCTATTCTCCTTCCTGTTTCATGACCCACTCTGCACGGAGACTTGTCGGGAAAAAGCAGTGAGCATAACATGGTGGCTTTACTGGCCAGTGCCCTGGAAGGGGCCGTCTAGTCTTTACAAAAAGTCAAAAGCAGAACCTCAGATGATGGGGGTATTGGGGGGGGGTAAGATCTATAGAAATAAAGTGAGAGGCCCTCTCTTAGAGGAGGCCTTTCTACTATAATAAGTATATTTTTAGGGAGGCAGGCTAATTTGAACCAATCTATGGTAACTGACAAATCATCTACATTAGAGTCTTAGATCTTAAATGATCACTTGAACAGACCTGCCTTGAACCAATATGTAACATGATTTTAAATCGACAGGGCCTTGGCACCCCAGTGTTTAACCAAATATTGTGACACAGGCAAAAAGTTAACTAGATGACAGAAGAACAGCCTGCCCTTCTCTTCCTGATGGGTGCATGACATACAGTTTGGCCAATGGATAATGAACAGGAACAACCCCCAAGAGGCTTCCCATCCTTACCCTGATAGGGTACACAACAGCTTCTTTGACTAACTGCTTGGCTGCATCGAGTCCGATAATGTCATTCCACTTTATGTTTGGATTATGGAGATAAATGTCCTGCAATGCACATTTGATCATTTTGTTAAAACTAATGTTTTCCTCCACAGCTGTAATAAACACAGGAGCAGCAGAACACTTGACTTACAATAGGACATAAAGTGCTGGTGATAAAAACTCCCCATATTAGATATATGTATATATATGCATTGTAATTATGGGCTAGTTCACCAAATGGATGCCATGAACATATTCCGTGATTTTCCCTGAAGAAGAGATTGATGAGATAATATGGTACTTTTAAGAGGAAACAAAATCTCCTAACGATGGACTATACCTGTCTTCAGTCAATAGCAAACCATGTTGATTTATGACTGTAATCAAAGAAGCTACAGAATATGCCTTCAAATTACATTGGCTTTTACTGCAAAACAGAGTTCCCAGCCAGGGCCTGGCCTCGCTTGCTCCTTGATCTCGCAAATGCTTTCTTAATTTGTGGCCTAAAAGAGATAATGTTCCTCTGAAACCAATTTCTCTTTTTCCCTAGTGATCTCTCCCTACTTTCCATCAGGAGCAATTGCTTCTACAGAATTCAAGGAAGCTAACAAGCAAGCAAAAGCACAGTTTGCCCTCTGCTAGTGGAGCCCTGTAGCAACCATCTGGGGCAATCAATTAAGGTAGCTTTTACTGATAACTAATTTACAGGTTCCAAACTTCAATTCCACAGGACGCCTCAGAACAGCCACTCAGGGCCTTTCTCAGTAGGGGCAGTTCCAAGCATACTGAGTATCTAGTGTTACATCAGAAAAAGCTTCCTTTTAAAAGTCATTCTGAGTGACTACAGAACAATCTGGTAACTATTTTTATAGTCATTTAATTTTTTTAAAGATCTGTTTGTTTATTTGAGAGAGAGTGTGTGTGCACCTGAAGGGAAGGAGGGGCAGAGAGAGAGAAAATCTTCAAGCAGACTCCCTGCTGAGTGCAGAGCCCACCGCAGGGCTCAATCTCATTACCCTGAGATCATGACCTGAGCCAAAACCGAGAGTTGGACGCTTAGCTGATTAAGCCACCCAGGCGCCCCTATATTTATCTAATTTTTAAATAATACACATGGTTCAAAATATAAAAATACGGTTTTTGGGGCGCCTGGGTGGCTCAGTCGTTGGGTGTCTGCCTTCGGCGCAGGTCATGATCCCGGGGTCCTGGGATCGAGCCCCGCGTCAGGCTCCCTGCTCGGCGGGAAGCCTGCTTCTCCCTCTCCCGCTCCCTCTGCTTGTGTTCCCTCTCTCGCTGTGTCTCTCTCTGTCAAATAAATAAATAAAATCGTTAAAAATAAATAAATTAATTAAGTTTAAAAAAATGTCTTTAAAGTATGGTTTTTCAATGCTGATGAGATGGTATACCCCCATCCCTGTCGCCCACCCTCCCACATCCCCTCCACCACGACTGACCACTTTTATTAGCGAAAATATTCATACGAGTGATTTTGGTGGTGCGTAATGGGCATGATCCATTGATACAGCGACAGAGAAAGGACTCCGTCTTCCAAAATCTTGGGAGAACGCCCCCTATTCAGATTGTGGATCTGCAGGATAGCCCACCACCCACTCACATTCTTACTACCATACTTTCTAAGGAAAAGGTTGGCACAGAGTGGGGACTCATCTACCTTGGAATTCAAAGCATCCATAGATGAGAGCAGTATTTCTTGCCCTCTTCTAGAGCTGACATTGAGTTCCACAGAGCAGTGTTTAACTTCCCAATAGGAAGTTCCTCCTTATAGCAACAAAAGTTATCAGTCATGAGGTGGTGATCTCCCCATCACTGTAAGCATTCAAGCAGAGACTGGATGACTTCTTCCCATGGTATTGTAGAAAAGATGCTGGGTGGAATCATTTCAGGCCACTTCTACTCTATAACTCTGTCATCACTAGTCATGTTGTCTTTTTGCAGAAACAGTAACGAGACTATTGATTTTTAAGGGCATAGAAATTTTTTTTTTCTCTGCTCTCCTTTGCATCCTAATTACCACGGCCTGGCTCAGACCTCGTCCTCTCTCACTAGTAATAACTCGAGAGCTGGTCTCCTCATCTCCATTTCTTTGATATCCAGCCACCACACTGTCATTAGAACAGACGAAAAACACATTTGAGTATCCCATTCTGCCGATGGACACCTTTCAAAGATTTCCCACGTCCTACAGGCCACTTCCAGCCCTGGGTTAGTGCTCACTGTGCCCCTTACTTGGCCTCTCTCTGCAGCCCCCTTCCCCACCACTCCTTGTGGCTCCTTGTGGCTCATTCGGCTCAAAGCTGTACAATTTCCAGGTGTATGTTATTTGGTCCAGAACCCTCCACCCTTCCTCTTGTGCATTTTCATGTGCCTATTTCTTGTGTATCTTCTTCCCTCATGCTTTCCCTACCCTTTGGCACAAAATACCCCTCCTTTATGTTCTCCAAGTGCACCTTACCCATGGGATGAAAGACTTCCATAGGCAAGGACTGTGTCTGATTCGTTCATCTTTGTGTTTCCAGCCCCCAGCGCGTGCTTGATACCTAATAGGGGCAGTAACCGCGGCTGAACTGAACAGCCAGAGCTAGGGAACCCTTTTACTGCGGAATACCTGCGCATTTTTTGGAGCATATTAAACATCTCTCTGAGTCTGCTTGGCTTTCAGTCTTTCATTAAATATGAGATTGCTAGATATCAGATAAGTACCCTATAACTCAGGAATCTATCCTGTTTCCAGGGAACTTGCTCAAAGTCACGTGGCTAGAAAGAGAAGGATGTAGAAATCAAATCCAGCTCAACTGATCCCAGAGCTGATTCCAGGCGTTAACCATGAGACTTCACTGTTTTTAAATTCTGGAGGGTAGGGAGGTGGGCCGGGGGATGGGGTAACCGTGACGGGCAGTAAGGAGGGCACGTGATGTGATGAGCACTGGGTGTTATATGCAACTGATGAATTACTGAACTCTACATCTAAAAGTAATGACGTACTATATGTTGGCTAGTTGAATTTAAATTTTTTTAAAAAGAAGAAATTAAAATAAATAAATTCTGGAGGGTAAACTTAAAAATCAGTAGTCCAGATGATAAGCTCTTTCCTGCTAATCTTGTTTTTCATGGAAATTTCCAATGATGAAATCATTAGACTCCCAACATCTCTGTTTCTAGACTTTGACTGTTTAAACAAGACACAGGCATGCTCTTTCCTTCTCTAAGAGGCTTTCTTTCCTTAACTCTTGGCTCTGCTCTCAAACCTTTCACCTGTCCCTTCCCTTCTAAGTCTTTTTCCCTTTTGGTTTTCTTGGCCTCTGTAGTGAGATGGTGGGCTTTTTGTATTGTAATTTTATGATTCTATAATTTATTTATCATGCATTATTGTGCCTCTAAACAATATGAGTGCCTTTGCAAGTGAGGGCACTTTATAAATAAATGATCATATTTATTGTTATTAATAAAAGAAGCAGCCCACAATGTTCCAGGAGCCCCAATCCGCCTCCGTAAATTTGTGAATTGAATATCAGATCTTACCCGGCTCACCACAGCTGCCAATTCTCGCATCTCACTATTCATGCCAATAAATGCACTCAGAGGTTTCAACAGTCGTTCCTGACGATAGGAACAGAAAGCCTTACGTTACAATATTGCTCATAATTTAGAAGCAAAACGGGGCCTGGATCTCGGTGACATAAGTGGTGGCAGGTTGCTGTGACCTTCGATTTGATCTCAAGGTTTGTCTGGACTCAAAATTATATTTCTGAAGTTCGTCTAGATGTTGGTAGTTTGCAAGATGAATGTCACATCTTAGCCACTTACTGAGGGGTCGGGGTTACAGTCAAAGCTGTTCAAGCCAAGTTCGCTGGTTGCTCCTTTGATGGCATCTGTGAGCAGCCCTCGGAAGTCAATGATTTGGCCCTGAAAGGGAGTAATGGTTATTTACACCATTAAAACATGGGGGGAAGACTATCCCTAATAGCTCAGCTTCAGTCAGTCAAGACACCTTTATGTATCCTGATATGTAGGGCAAACTTAAAGTGGGGCTTTAAAAAGAACCTGCACTAATCATAAACGAGACGATTTCTTCAAGTTGGGCACTCTAGAAAAAAAAATTAAGTTGCAAATAAACTCTTCAGAGTGAAGTTGGTTTGAATGGAAATTCCCAAGCATTTTTCTGACACCACGCCCTCTGCTTCCTTACAGGTCTGCCTCCCCTACGTTGTCTGGTCCTTGGAAACATCCCCCGCATGGGAAGAACTCATTGACGTAGGAGTAACAGTAGCTCCCACTTACTATCATGTACGTTCTCCACTCAGTAGAGTCCCATCTAACAAGTGGCTTAAGGCCAGGATTCGAACCCAGATATCTGTCTTCCCATACTCCTCCCAGCGCCCCCTTGCCTTCCCCGCAGGCAGAAGGAAAAAGGAAGGATGCGTGCAGAAAAGGAATATTGGCAGCAGTCGCCAGCACTTACTGAGTGCATGTTATATGCCGGGCACTATGCTAACACTCTCCACTCGTGATGTTTAAAGCACAGGCTGATTATTTCCATTTTCTAGATAAGAGAAATGAGGCTCGGCAAGATTGAATGACTTGCCCAAGGTCACACAGCTGGGAAAGTCTGAGCAGGGTTTTGAACCTAGGCAATCTGACTAGTGCCTTTAAGAACACCGTGCCTACTAAATTTGTAGGGGGGCTCAGGAACCCTGAAGCTAGGGGCCCTAACATGGCAATGATAGACCCATTTTGGAGATGGGCCCCTGGCCATATACCCTTGTTCAGTTTATGAACATTTGCAGTGCTAGGAAGAAAACCATCTACATTTCAACCCTGAGGACACTTCTGCTGGAAAGAGAACTTATAACCAGACTCCTTCAAAGGTTAAGTGCTGGGTTAAATAGTCCCTCCCTTGTGACCTGATCAGAAACAACTATTCATATCAACGTGAGATGTTCACAGGAGAAACTAGGGCCACAAAATTACTAGGCCAAAGTGGCCGAAAACACAATGAAAGTGGCAGAGGTGAACTGGGAAGTATTTCTCCGAGGGAGGCACTGATCTGAATGCATCATCTCCAGCGATCACCCATATAATGGAGGCCCTCCCAAGGAGCCAGTTCAGGCCAATGAGAGCTCCCTTCATTTCCAGGGAGATGCTCCCAGCTTCCCCTCCAAGCGCACACAGCCAGAGTCTCATTTACCCAAGAAGAGCTGGCCAGAGGTAAATCTGAAGTCCTGTAGTCTGAGAACTTGCCCGAAGAAAGAGAGATGGCTCTAACAAGAAATACAACCCCTGAAGTTATAATCAAGAGAAACCTGTTGATATTGATACTGCTTCTTCGCATCTCCAAAGGACATGTGTTAACCTGCTTTTTGCCTACATCTACCCAATTAGTCTTTTCTATTTGAGCAGCTCTTATTTATGAATCAAGACACGAGGTTCATCATGAAAGGAGTAGAGATATCTAGTAGGGACAAGATCCACCCTATTTCAACTGAGGTTTCATGGTTCACGTGAAATGACAGTTAAGCCTAGAGCCACACCCCCAGGGAGACAAGGTGCCACCACTAGTCAACTACCACAGGCAGGGAGGAGAAAGATGAGTACTCCGCCATAACTCCTTCAATGATGCAGAACACCGACGTTTACCATTTCAATCACAGGATGTTTAAGCTGACAGTGACTTTGGAAGCCATCTCTTCCAAACTCCTGAGTTTACAAATAGGGAGACTGAGATTCTTAGAGATGGGGAGTTCCTTCAAGACCATTCATCCAGAAAGGAGATTCAGACCAGAACCCCAGGGCTCTAATCCTCAGCCAGTGTTCTTCTCAGCCCACCTCATAGCCAGGCTCTGACCATTCTATATTAGCTTTTCTGTTTGACAACAGTAACATTTTTTAGTTTTCATTTTTAGAAAGAAAAGGGATTTCCCCTTTTGGTGCTAGATTCATGAATTCCACTTACTTTTTGTGGGCGGACATTTTCTTCTCCACTGCCTTTGTTGATTCCTGATATACTCAAGCCAAAGTCAGCACTCTCCGCGTGAGAATTAGTGACAGCCTCCTGAAGAAAGAGGAAGCCAGCGGGAAGTCAGCCATGGAAAGCAAGTTACAAAAGCCAGTAGAAACTGCCTATTCCCTCGTCCCAAATCACACACTGGATATCAGTTCAGTAGATGGGAACCCCATGTGAAATTCAGCCACTTCTGTGCAGTCCCAACAAGATGAGTTCGCTGGCTGCCTGCGCCATGTGGGAAGAGCTGTCGCTGGAAGCCATGGGCTCTGAGGAGCTTTTCCAGTGGAGGAAACCACGGTGCCTCAACCCAAACCCACTCCCTGGCTTTTCTCCTGTAACCAGAGGTGTTTGATGCTGGGAGTGGCTAAGTTTGGAGATGGAGCAGAGTCAATAGTCAACCAGCCACCTGTGGAATTCTCCTGCCCCACCTTCACCTCCCTTCCACCTGAGTTCAGACTACACTGGCCAGAGGTATACAACCTCTTTGAGAGTGAGAGATTCCTTCTGACAATTGAGTTTCATGATTATTCCTTTCTATCCCGCCAGGCATCTCTGACATCCAGTCTTCCCATTCCTTTTCCCAATTTCAGTTGGTTCTCTTTCCTCTGAAACCTGGTATGTTTATCCCAACCCAGGAGGTTCTAGGTATGGATCCCCTGAGTCAGGAGCCATTGATCTCACCCACCTGCTGGGCTCTCTTCTCTTGCTGCCCACCCTGTCCCCAAGATTGTCCAGTGTGGAGGTCCGGAGTGGGGACTGACCATGTGTGCTTTGGAGAAACCCAGCCATTCCTGAGACTATCCCTGGCCTAATCTGAGGAGCCCGGGAATGTGCTTTGGGACGGGAAGATTTGCCACCTACAGTTACCGCAAATGGGATGATTGAGCATTGTAGCAACCAGGCCCCCTGCTTTGACTGGGCCCAGGCCGAACCCCTCAAAGCCTGTCACCTAGCACTCTGACCAGAGGAAAGGCTAGGGGGAGGAAGGAGACCTCCCGCTCAAATTAAAAAACTCTGGGAAGACTAGAGATTTGCCTGTGGTTTTAATCCAGAAGAAAATCTACAATTTAACAAAATCACACAGCATTTTAAAAACATTGTCCTTAAATAAATAAATGTGACTTTTTTCTTGGAGCTATTTCTCAGCCACCTGCAGTTTTACCAATGCCAAGCAAAGCTGTCCAGACCTGTTTAGGATGCTCCTGATGGAGGGATTTGACATCCCCTGACTTCCCCACTGTGGTTCTGGACCGTGGCCTCTGCTGACTGATCTTGGGAAGATTTTGACAGCTGTCGCTCATCACCCTAGGGGCGGGAACAAAGACCTTGGAGGGAATTATTCTAACCACTTAATTTGAGGTAACTAAACAACTTGTGTAGCACATTTTAAAGAAAGAGTTCTAGAAAGATAGGCAGATGTACCACAGTTGGGCCCTTCCATCTTCACTGCCCTCCCACCCCAACCATCTTGGCTCTGACTTGATCCAGTCTACTCCTTGGGTTCCTCCAAGACCAGGCTAGAGGGTCCACCTCCCCCCGGAGGCCCCTGACCTCCTCTTCATTTTCCCTCATGCCACCTGTCTCCAGCCCTTCTGCACATAGCTCTGTATTCTCAAGAACACATGGCTTTGCAAGCATTTTTCCAACGTTTCTTCCCATCTTCCTTAAAGAACGGTATGCAGACCAGGGGACAGATTGTGGGGATGAAGGAGAAAGCCTAGGGATTTGCCAGTGGTTTTGATCCAGTGTGCTGGGTGTACCTAGAGGGGACTTGTGGAAGGGAAGCAAACCTTACCTCATCTCTTTTGTCACAGATCTTCATATTTGCAAAACAAATGTTCACCAAATATTGTTCACTTAAAGCAAAACAAATTGATGGGGCTGAAAGTCAGATAGTGGCTACCTCTGGTGGACATGGGGAGTATTGGCTGGGAAGGGAGCCTGCTGAGGGGTTGCTGGGGTGGTGGCACTTAACAAGAGTATATATGTGTTTGACTGCATATATATGTGTATGTATGTGTTTGCATATATGTTATATATGTTATATACATCAGTGCAAAAGTAAAATAAATTTGTTCACGAGGTCCTATCCATGAGACCTAAAATTTCAGGATTGGAATATTGTTAGATAGGAGATGACATTAGAGAGAGGCAGGACTGCTTGAGAGGCACAGCATGAACTCCCACATCAGAAGCTGTTTGGTTTTCTCAGTTCCTTTGTCCTTACATGTGAGACGTGTTTGCAAGAGTTTCACTGGAAGCATTTCTCCCATGTTCTACAGGGTCTCAGAGAGCAGCTATTTCTCCATTTCTTTGTGGGAAAGAAAAAGTTGTTTGTGTCTAATATAAACACATAGGTGTTTGGCCAGCAAGACCACCCACACCAATAATACCACCAGTGTCCATACACAGTGACCCCAGTGTTGACCCACTGGGATGAGTGTCATAAGAGGTAGACAGCATTTGTTTTTCATCTGTAAATTAGGAATAAAAATGCCTGTCCTTCAGGCCTTTTGCTGGCACAAAAATGAAATATCTATGAAATGAATACCAAAAATTTTACAAGTGCAAACTCTTATGAATAGCATTGATTTAAATGAAGTGAGGTATATATATAGTTAAACTTGCCTAACATTGCGGGGCTGGCAGGGAACTGGGAGTCTGCTTCCCCTCTTTGATTTCCCTTTAGAGGCAAGTGATTCACAGATTTGCTTTAACACTATCAAAGACAAGTACTTAAAGTGCAAAGCAGTACAATTCATTTTCCATCAGCTCTAACGACTGTAAAATTCTTCCTAGTATGGAACCAAATTCACCCCGCTGTAACTTTAGTTGCCACTCCCAGGGTGTGCCCTATGGAATTCTACAAAGAAAGCTCAACCCTCTTTAGAGAGTGAAGACTGGTTCCATGTTGTACTAGGGGCACCTCCTCCCCAAGTCTTCCATTCTTCAAGCTAAACATCGCCAGCTGCTCCAATCATTTTTAAGGTTACCTGGCTCCCAGATTCATCCTCATCCTGGTCATTTTTCCTTTGTCCACTGTCTTCTGACCACAGTAGAGTCACCTCGTATTTTGTGGATACTGTATTTCTATCACTGAGGCCCGAGACCACATTGGCAATCACATCACGTTGTTGAGTTCCCACTGCATCTGTTGTTAACTCAAATTTCTGGGTCTCTGATTTTGTAAGGAGGGAGCTATTTGACTTAATCTTTAGTTAGAGCCTCTACCTTATTTTGTTAAATTCCATCTTGTTATTTTGAGCCCATCTTCCAAATTGTCAGGATTTTTTGGCATCATAATTCTGTTATCCATCACATTAAATAACCATTCCTCCACTGGGTCATCTGCGTATCTGTAACCCGGGAGCTTGCTCTCTGGTGTGAGACGCCCAGATTAGGAGAGGTACTTTACTTGTTAATAGCAAGTCTCATGACACAACCTCTCATTTCAATAGCTATCTTCAATTATAAAATTATAAACAAACAGTGCTCATTAGTTTCCTAATTATCCTTCTTAACTTCAACCATGTGCTGTCTGACCTCTATGCTTGCCATGTACAAACATTTCCTCAGAGAGGAGCTGAAGACACCCAAGCTGTCAAGCTCTGTCCCTAAAGAGAAGCAAAGTGCTCGGAAGACATTCACTCATGGAACGTTCTGCCAGGTAGAGAATGCTGGGGAAGTTCCAGGTATGAGCGTGTGGCTGAAAAATAATCAGAATCCAAATGCATGCCGAAGCTGGCCTCTTAAAATGCTCCTCACTGTTTCTGTTCAAAAGTAGTTATCATTCATTGTCAGAGTCTGACTAGCTTTATGGAAACTGTAAATAAAAGGACAACACTTTGGTCAAAACAATAAAACTGTCCCTAAAGAATAGCACAAAGCAAAGGTAGCCTCAGGTAGAGCATCATTGGGAATATTATCATGAAGCATGTGTGGGTGCTTGCTACGTGTGGGGACCTCACTTTGTGTCGGAAACTTGCTCCAAGCTGGTGAGTAGCAGAGCCAGGAATTGAACCTGGACCTTTTCATCTCTAAGGTCTGTACTCTTCAAAGCACAGAGCCTCGAAGGAGCACCAGTGAATGCAGTTATTTGTGATAAAACCAGGAGAACCAACAGACAGTGACCCATATCCTGGACATCTGTAATGTGAGGAGCACCCATGGCTGGGCCCACCAAGGTCACATGATCATAGTCTGCAATTGCTGGTAGACAAACATGCAGTTGAGCTGGAGAATCTTCTGGAAAGGGATCCCACAAACTCCTAGAGTTGGGTTGGTCAAGATGAATTACCATTCATTTTACCTTCTGGTCTTCCCTCCACTTCTTGGTGGTAAATTATTTTCCACTGTGGCAAAACAAACATTGGGAGGAAAGGGAAAGAATTTAATTTTTTAAGAGAAAGTGATTTGTCAGGTATGTTTGTCCTTTCACATTGTTCTTAAAATTTGTGCTACAGCCTTGTGGAATCCAGGAGCTTTAAGCTATTCTCCTGTAGAAAGAAGTGAAACTACCAGCAAAGAGAAAGAAGCCCGTGTTTCCCGAGCATTTCCACACAGAGGAGGACCCCAAAGCCCTCAGCTATGAAACGTGTTGGAAACCATGAACCTGGTGGCAGCATCAGTGTGGGCCAGGTGACAGGAACCATTTCAGGTTTTCATAAACTTGACATTTTGCTGTGTGATCTCTGGGATACCAGGCCGATTGCATGAACATTTATCAGTACTCTGCCAGTTTACCTTAAAATAAACACGTTGTGTCCAATATCCCAGGAGACTGTGGTTCCAAGTTAGATCAGAACCAGCAATCTAGAAATTAGATCGTGTCAGTGATAGTCCTGGTGGCCCAGTGGTTAGGCGGCAGTGCTTTCTCTGCCAAAACCCAGATCCAACGACCAGCCAAGGACTTGGAGCTCTGAACGCTGCACTGGAAAGGAGCTCAGATAAAATATCCCTTCCAGCTAGGATATTCGCCCCGGCTATTTTTAATTGACATTCCTCTTGGTTTCCTGGTCCCCACATGAAATGCTAAAGTCTGTGGCTTAACAAGTGCCTTGTAAACAGGACAATGATCTCCCTTGGTTTATAATTACTTCCCCCACTTACAGACGTCTAAGTCAATGCTACTACAAAACATAGGGCCTTCACTTTAGATCTTTCCTCCAGCCAGCCTCCTTGACTGCTAACCTATACTGGGTCTCTGCATTATATTGATCATTATCTGGATTGATGGCTTTCAAAAGCATTTCATTATCTATACATGAGCTATTAGCTTCACCAGTACTCATTTTCATGTTATTTTCAAGATAGATAATAGGTCTTCCTAACAACAACAACAATAAAAAGTCTTCTGTCATTTATCCTCTCCCAACAGCTCTTTCCATCTCTAAAGAAATGAAAGTAATGTTGGTCTTCTAAAAAATAACTGTGATACACTAGGAGACCCTTTGCTTTCCTTGTCCTAAAACATACATTCCTTGAACAAATACCAACATGGCTATGGGGACATCCCTGCCCAGACGATCACGTTTACATTGTCTGTACAGGACCTAATAGAGGCTACACAGTCTTTCCAGTCTATTCCTTCAGTAGAGGGTGGCGGTAGCATCTATCTGGGAATACAATGAGGAAGAAACACTAATCTTAAAGATGAGAGGAAACCTTTTTTCTAGAAAATAGCCATGTACCTGTGTCTGATGCCTTTTTGACAATTTTGGGGTATTTCTGAAATTTTACAAAATAGTAGCTCTCATATTCCATCAAAATAGTTTCAAGGTCAATGTTGTCACAAACTTCAAAGCGTCGTAACCCCAGTTTAGTTTCTTGCTCCAAAGCGTTGGCTGCATCAATATATCTGGCCATTTCACGAAGGGAAAAAAAAAAAAAAAAAAAAAAGAATTAACTCTGGGTAAAATGAATAAAGGCAAACAGGCATGACAAGTCTACAGATGTTCAATACAAATAGTAAGCTTATATTAAGTAGTACATTAGATAACAATTAGAATACATGAGGTTTGCCTATAGAGTAAGGAGCCCCACATACCGTGAGGATATGCACGTAGTGTTTTTCAAAGCAGTTGCCTCGAGAAGCTACGTACTTACTCTACTGATGTCATCATGCTTCAAAATGTTTTTGGAAGTGCTTAAAAGTCAAATAAGTAAATCAACTAAGAAAATGTCTTGGGCTTTACCTTTACTCATTTTTAGCTTAAAGTGGGTATTTGCCCAACTTGATTACCTCCTTATTCACCAGCAATCATTTTAGATAACATCGGGCAATTGATAAACCCAAATTCAACCCCAAGAGGCAAGATTCACCATGATTTTGCTGCAGCTGAAAAGGGTAGGTCATGAGTTCTGAAGGAAATTCCAAAACTATGTTGATCAATATCACTGAGGGAAATGTGGTGTAAGAAGACATCATCAGCTTGGATGTATTATTTCTGGTAGTTTTTTCTTCAGTCACACGTGACACTAGCAGCTGACTGTGGGTGTAAGCACCATCTTCCCCAGGGAAAGATTTTTAACCTGTTCAGTTGGAGGGCTGTCCAAATTAAGTGGTCTTAGCAATAAAAACAAATGCTTTGTCTCACAATCCTCTGAAAGTGGGAAGACTTTCCAGGTCTTAATCTTAACTCTTGACTTCTTATTGAAACCAATGACTCCCTCCTGAAAAGTGTGCAAATATGCACAAGTTAGCATACAATTTCATCCAAGGACCTCAGATTAAGAATTCCTGCCGCAGGACAGAGTTCTTGCTGTTTGATTCTAATCTGGGAAAGTAGGAGAAAACTTTATTATGCTCTCTTCCCTGCCCCAGATTCAGGGCAGTTGGAAACTTTGAACTTTCTTAAACGAGGTGGCCATGATTATTTCCAGTGACCTTGCTAACTTTAAAGACATTGTCAGTGTCAATTGATAGTCAACCTCTGGCCTTTCTGTTTACCTCATTGTTCCACTTAGGTCGTGCCCTTTCTTTCTTTCCTTTCTCTCTGCGCCTGCCTAGAATATCCTCGTCCATCATGTCTGTCTGTCTGTATTCTATACATCTTTCAAGACCAGCTCATATCACTTTCTCTACAAAGCTTTTTGTTTATTCCAGTCCATTATAATTTATCCTCTTTGTGAGGATAAATTCTTAGTATTCTGTTAGAGGCAGATCTACTTTTCTGACAGTTTACTTTTCATCTTGAGGATCCACTCCTAAGTACTTTAACCAGTAGGTCTCAGGAAAATGATCAACTCTAGTCGAATTTTCATTAATTTGAGATGCAAGGGGCCATCTTGTGGCAGAAAGGGGAAATGCATGCTTTGTAAATAACACAGTAAGCCTTGCAGGAGAAGGGGAAAACTATGCTGACTTTTCTTTGTTTGTCTTTTTGTTTTCGTAGTTCCTCCTGATACAGTGTCTTGGCACGGTTGACATTTGGGGCTGGATAACTCTGTTGTGGGTTGCTGTCCTGTGCATTGAAGGATGTTTAGCAGCATCCCCGCCCTCTCCCCACTAGGTGCCATTGTAACAGTCAAAAACATCTCCCGACATTGCCAAATGTCCTCCAAGGGGCAAAATCACCCCAGTTGAGAACTGCTGCTTTAACTTGCAAGTTCAAGCCCTAAGCCTGAAACCCGAATATTTTCTTCCTGGCTGAAACTTGGAAAGAAAGGAAACTTGAAAGTAAATAGTGGATGAGCTCTCTTCCTCACAAAACCCAGAACACTGGCAGCCTTCATTGTAAGGGCTTGCACGCTTCTGAATCAGGTAGATGGCCAAACTCAAATGCTTAGCAATTTCCTCACCTGCCAGTTATCGAATGGCATTACCCAGAAAAGAGAATCAAGCACAGGTCATCAGGTAAATGCGATCCCTTTATTTTGAGGGAAGGAGAATTGAGGAATAAGAGCATTATTTCTGTGTAGATACCCAGCAGTGGGACCCCAGGAACCTCATTTGATAGGCCTGAAACCTGAACGGGAAAGGGAAGGTATCTCAGGACCTGGGTAGCTTTGTTAAAGTTTTCAAATGCGTAATGGGAATAATATCTATGTAAATGAGGCAATAAAAGTATGTGTCTGGGTTGCTGAACAAGGGTGCCGGGACAGGCAGAGCACAAGGGATTTTTAGGGCGAAGCTATTGGATATGATACTACAATGCTGGATACATTATGCATTTGTCAAATCTCACGGAATTATACAGCCGAAGAGTAAACCCTGATGGAAACTATGCATGTCAGCTAACAATAACATATCAAGATTGGTTCTCCAGTTGTGACAAATGTTCCATGCCAAGGTAAGATGTTAATAATAGGGGAGAGTGGCTGGGGTGGGGGGATTCCCAATAGATGGGAGGTCTCTATACTTTCTGCTCAGTTTTTCTATAAATAGAAAACTGCTCTAAACAATAAATTCTATGAACTATTTTGATAAGTGTGTATCTGGAAAAGTAGGGGTCAGAGAAAGAGAGGAATCATCTCTGTAAATATTTGTAATGTGACGTACCCTTCCTGTGTTAAGTAATGCAAAATCAAAATAAGAAGATTTTTTCGTCGTGCTTCTGTCCTCATCTCGCACTGTGAACAAAAAGGAAAATTTAAATGAGATGACAATCAGATAGAAGACTCTTTTTATAGCAATAAACCCTTGAAGGGAAATGTAACCTGTCAAAACCAAGAAGCATGACTTAAAGGCTGGAAGGCAGTTTGACGTCTCTAAGAATACATAAAGTTATTTTCCATTGTCTTCTTCTTAGAGCTGCCTTCTCATTTGTAAACTGAAGGTACGATGATTTAAATTAGAATTGCGCTTTGCTAGTCAACTTCTACGGGCCAGCTAATTGGCATTTTATTGCTCCTAACTGCAAAGAAGCGGATATATACACTTCTATTTGGGCCAGGTTAAGGAAAGTGACGGTAAAGAGAAACTCATGAGCTAGAAATCAGCTCTGACATCACAGGTATTCACCTGCTACGACATCTTCACTTCACTCAGAGTCCCACCTAGTCCCAGCACAAATGTGGTGACGAATTCCAGTAAGCCATTCAGCAGGTGACAACACAGCCAAACATTCAGAATATCCACTAGGAGGGGCGCCTGGGTGGCTCAGTCGGTTCAGCGACTGCCTTCGGCTCAGGTCATGATCCTGGAGTCCCGGGATCGAGTCCCACATCGGGCTCCCTGCTCGGCGGGGAGTCTGCTTCTCCCTCTGACCCTCTTCCCTCTCGTGCCTCTCTCTCTCATTCTCTCTCTCTCAAATAAATAAATAAAAAATCTTTAAAAAAAAAAAAAGAATATCCACTAAGAGTAACAGAGGCCAGAAAAGGGAAATTCCTGCGTAATAATGTCCTTATTCAAACTGGATGCATCTGTACATTTATTCAATAGCGTTCATGTGCTACATTTAGTTACCTGATATCTCAAATTCCCCTGAAATGTATTCATAAAATACCTACTTTCAGTAATACCTCCCTGACTTGAGAATAGCTTACCTAACATCTTTAAGAATACAGGTAAGAACTGGATAAAAGCAAAAAAAGGCCCCTGAGTGGCCCAAATCGTATCGTAAAATCTGTGCGCAAACACTCACGCTCACGACACATACAAAAACTTTTCGTTCATCCAGGGCTTTCTAAAAATGAATGTAATGAAATTAAAGTGGGCATACAGTTCTTTAAAATTCAAACAGTACCATAAATTATTTTTCTTCTTACATTGCTTTTTTGGTGTGCTGAAACATACATAACATAAAATGTAGCATTTCAACTATGTATATGTATAGTTGAGTGGCATTAAGCACATTTATACTGTTGTGCCACCATCCGTCTTCAGAGCTTTTTTTTCTCTCTCCCAACTAAAACTCTGTATTCATTAAACAATAATGCCCTCCCCCCACCCCCTAAGCCCTAGCGACCACCATTTTATTTCCCATCTCTGTGATTTGGCCTATACCAGGTCCCTCATGGAAGTGGACTCATTCAGTATTTGACCTTTGGTGTCTAGCTTATTTCACTCAGCATGATGTCATCAAGGTCCATCCATGTTGTAGTATGTGTCCAATTTTTTTCCTTTTTTAAGGCTGAATACTAGTACTATACATTTTTAAAGAAAAACAATAGTCTCTGCCCCACTCCACTAGCCCACCCCCACCCACTCCCTATATGCAACAACCTTAATTACTTTAGCTGTTTCTTCTGATATTTACCTCCACATTTCTAAGTATATCAGTGTTCCACGATACATGAATATTCGGCATTAACTAGTCCCATCCTGTTAAGGTAGATGAGAACCAAGCTGCCATCCAGCTTCTCACCCTCCCCTCCCCTTACAGTGATACCAGGATGCGGTTGTTCTATGATTGTAACCATGTAAACAATGTTCACTGCTGAATCAGAAAGTACTTTTCCATTTCTGTACATTATTTTTCTTGGAATGAATAATTGCCTCATTTTTTTTTTTAGCTTGGTTACTTTTCTGTATACCTATTGCTAATTTTGAAACACCAGCACACCTCTAAAGGCCCCTCATCACTTTCCTCACCATCAAATACATCAGATAATGTGTCATTTACATTCCCCCTGACCCATGCCCCCAAGGCTCCCCTTCAATGCAAGAGAATTGTCTCAGAATTTGTGACAGGGAAGAAAGCTTAGGATTGCTCTGTGGAACTTCTGTTGCTTTAGCGTGTGTGTATATGTGTTGGGTCCCAGTCTAAGATATCTTACAGTTGGTCACAGTCACAGTTTGAAAGCTGCTACACAAAATGACACTATCCTGATATTAAGATGTTTAACACTGGCAGTGTTTGCTCATCTTTCTGAAGATGTTGACACAACGATTCTTGATAAAGACTGAAACCTTTTGAATTTACCACATTTAATAACTTTGACTTTGGTAGTCAAAACCTACCCTCCCTCCCCCGCCTTTTTTGGGGGGAATTTGATTTGCCTTGCCTCTAGTGCCATCTAGTGTATTAGGAGGAGAAGCACTTCATGAAATCCAGGTTAGTTCCAAATTATTCTCATAATAAAGATGACAATCATCACAAAACTCAGTCCAAACCAAGTTTGCAAAATAAAAATATAACCACCTGTTAAATAAGCAGTAATAAAAGTGATAGGCTGTGTTTCTAAATATACAAATTCTCAAGTTCATGCTTGGGGTTTTGACTCAGAATTTTAAGAGTCTAGAAGGTACTGGGAGATCATTGAGTCTCAGGAACCCAAGATCCAGATAAATGAGGAATTTGCTCAAAAGCCTGCAGAGTTGAGATCAGAATCCAGTGCTCTTCCCCTCATCACTTCCTCCCCTGCATTCACCCCTTCCTCATCAATTCCACTCCACCCCTACACATTAACCACAGACTAAAGAGAAGTTATTTTAACTTGCCAAAATCCGTGTGCCAAATTTGCTAAAATCAAACAATTGTGGCTAACAGATAGTCTTTCTTAGCTGACCTCACGTAGTAACACAAGAATGGTGTCCCTTACAAGAGCTATGAGAGCCATGTCCATTCTCAGAGGGACTTCCCTGGACACTGACCAGTGCCATTTCCAACTGGACAGTGTTTTGCAAACTGGGGGGTGCTGTGCCCATAGCAGGGTCAGTGGTCGGTGGGTGCTCAACAGCTGTTAGTTGCTTTGTTCGTGTATTTCAGAGTCTCTCCATCCTTCACACTGGAAGCATGCACTTCTTCCTAATCTAAACAGGCACAGATGCACAAGTTCTCTTATGAGTAGGATGCTGAGAAAAATTAGCTAAGGAGTGTTTTGTTTGTGCTCCCTAGGACCGCACACACTGCACTGGGTTTGGCTGATAGCTCGGAATTTCCTGAAGATGAGAGTCTGGGTAAAGCCAGAAAACTTAATAGGGGAACAGAAAAAGATCTTCGGAGAGATGTTTGTTGTTTTTGGGTTTTGTGTTGTTTTTTTTTTTCTTTACAGATTTTTTATTTATATGTCAGAGCACAAGCAGGGGGACCAGCAGGCAGGACTCGATCCCAGGACCCTGGGATCATGACCTGAGCTGAAAGCAGACGCTTAACTGACTGAGCCACCCAGGCGCCCCGGGAGAGAGGTTTTTAAAAGGGAATGGGGGGGGGGCACCTGGCTGGTTCAGTGGGTGGAGTGTGTGACTCTTGATCTCGGGGTCGTGAGTTCAAGCCTCACATTAGGCATAGAGCTCACTAAAAAATAAAGAAAAAAGAAGAAAAGAAAAAGGGTTGGGAGGGCGCAGAGGAGGATGGAGGAATGAGGATGGGTAACAGTTAAGGGGCACAATTTCTTTTTGGGGCAGTGAAAATGTTCTGAAGTTACAGTGGTGATGGTTGTATCTCTCCACAAATATGCTTCGGGTGAGTTGCATGGTATGTTAATTATATCTCAAATAAGGCTGTTTTAAAATGCCAGAAACAAATGGGGAGAGGTAGAGAAAAGAAGGCTAAAATGAATGTAAATAATTCGAGTAATTTTTTACCCTGAAATATAAAACAAATGGTCTGACTGAAAATGGAAATCATTTCACGCAACATTTTGGAGTGCTTCAAAATGGAAATGGTGGAGAGAAAGAGCTGCTTATCGCCCACACCCCCATGAGAGCCTGCTCACCAGCCTGATGGCAGAGCTTGGTCCCATTGTGGGCTCGGCTGCCTCCGGCACTCCTTTATGTGCTTGATGACTCGGCTGTAACGAGCAGCTCAGTCTGCGTGAGTCCAGGGGAGACATACCAGGAAGAAAAGAAAACGCAAAACCATCCAGAAGGCTTTCATTCCCCTTTACTGTAGACTTCTTTTTTTTTTTTTTTTTTTGGTTTTGTCATCATTGGCCATGCACATAAAAGTTGAGGAAGGCACCTTAAGTATTGTTAATATTTCTTCAGTTCATTGGACAAAAATAAGCTTCTTTCAGTAAGAATCTCCAATTTTTTTAAATGCAGAAATATTAATGTTATCCAGATAATACCCAGGCTTGGCAAGGTATGAAAAGACATGCATTCAGACATGACTTGTGGACATGTAAACTAGTACAACCCTTTTATAGAGCAAATTGGCAAAATCTATCAAAATGAAAAATGCACGTACTTGTTGACCCAGCAATTCCACTCCCAGCGATTTACACTATAGAAGATCAATTATACTATATTATAGAAATAGTCCATGTATGCACGAAGATTAATGTTCAAGGATGTTTAATACAGCATTATTTGTATTCGCAAAAAAATAGAAACAGGCTATTAATGTCCATTAGTGGTTAAATAAGTCACGGCACGAGCTCATGGTGGAATGCAATGCGCCAGTCAGAGGAATGAGGTGGGTCTTTATACACTGATGAGGATTCTGAAGACATCGCGTCTTCTTTCCACCCCCACTCACTGCCCACCCCAAATACTGTGTTACTCAGGGAAAGAAAGTTTAAAATACAAGCTTGAATTAAATTTAACAAAGAAAAACTTCAAATAGTACAGTTTAAAAAGACAAGATTCTCTCTTCATGCTATCCACTATTTTTAATTTCTCATGTAATGGTTCAGAAAGGAATTATGAATATATCAACATACGTATGCGCAACTTTTTAAAAATT